AAGAGGTATACGATCTTTTTATGCCTTATCCTGATGTCGATAAATTGAGACTGTTGTTATTAGATGCATTTTGTATTGATAATGAGAACATATAGGGCATGAAAACACTATATGTTTGCTTATATCCGTTATCTTGATTAAAATTGATTGTGTTGTTATGATGATTATTTTAGTCGACAAATGATGGAAGAGGAGGTATACAATCATTTTATGCCTTACCCTGAGTCGAAAAATTGAGACGGTGGTTATTAGATACATTTTCTGTTGATGATGAAAACATATAGGGCATGAAAGCCCTATATATTTGCTTTTGTCCCTCACCTCGATTTAAATTGATTTTGTTGGTATGATGATTATTTTAGTCGACAAATGATGGAAGAGGAGGTATACGATCTTTTTATGCCTTATCCTGATGTCGATAAATTAAGACTGTTGTTATTAGATGCATTTTGTATTGATTATGAGAACATATAGGGCATGAAAGCCCTATATATTTGCTTTTGTCCCGCATCTCGATTAAAATTGATTGTGTTGGTATGATGAATATTTTTGTCGACATATGATGGAAGAGGAGGTATACGATGTTTTTATGCCTTACCTTGATGTCGAAAAATTGAGACGGCGGTTATTAGATACATTTTGTATTGATCATGAGAACATATAGGGCATGAAAGCCCTATATATTTGCATTTGTGTGTCTGGGTTTTTGTGTTTTTGTGTGTGTATTTATGTGTGGTTGTGTTTGTTAGTGTGTTTGTGTGTGTTTCTCCATGTTTATATGTTTGTATGTTTGTGTGTCTTTGTCTGTGTCTATTTGCATGTGTATGTGTATGAATGTATGTTTGTGTTTATTTGTATGTGTGTATGTCTGTGTGTTTGTATATGTTTTGTGTGTCTGTGAGTTTGTGTCTGTGTGTTTACGTGTTTGGATGTATGTGCATTTGTGTGTGTATGTCTAGGTGTTTGTGTTTCTCTATGTTTCTGTGTGTGTATCTATGTCTGTCTATTCGTGTGTCTATGTCCATGTGTATGTGTGTCTTTGTGTGTGTGCATGTGTGTGAATGTATTTGTGTGCTTGTTTTTATGTTGGTTTGTGTGGCTTTGCGTTTGTGTTTATTTGTATATGTGTGTTTGTGTTTTTGTCTATGTTTGTGTGTGTCTGTGAGTTTGTGCATGTCTTTGTGTGTGTTTATGTAGGTTTTTTTTGTGTATATGTGTTTGTGTGTTTCTATGTGTGTGTGTGTATTTGTTTGTGTTTGAGTTTGTGTGTGTGAGTATGTTTATGTCTATGTTTATGTTTGTGTTTTTGTATGTGGTTAGGTTTGGGTGTGAATGTGTTTGTGCTTGTTTGTGGTTGGGTTTGGGTGTCTCTATGTATGTGTTTGTGCTTGTGTGTGGTTGGGTTTAGGTGTCTCTATTTATGTGTTTGTGCTTTTTTGTGTTTGTGTCTGTGAGTGTCTTTTTGTGTATGTGTTTGCATTTAGGTGTTTGGATGTCTTTGTGTGTATGTGTGCATACGTGTGTTTGTTAGTGTGAGTTTGTGTATCTATAACTCTGTGTGTTTGAGTTTTTGTGTGTTTGTTAGTGTGTGCCTATGTTTATGTGTGTCTATGTGTGTGTTTGCATGTGTTTCTTTAATTGTGTGTGTTTGTATGTATGCGCGCCTTAGTGTATCTGTTTGTGTGTGTTTGTCTTTTTGTGTCTTTATTTGTGTCTGTGTTTATCTTTGTGTGTCATTGCATGTGTTTCTGTTTCAAAGTGTGTGAGTGTCTAGGTGTCTTTCTGTGTCTCTAAGTGTGCGTGCGTGTGTTTGTGAGTCTGTGTGTGTGTCTATGTGTGGTGTGGTTGTCTGTGTCTTTTTGTGTGTGTTTGTCTTGATGTATGTGCATTTGTGTGTCTCGGTTTTTGTGTTTTTTTTTGTATGTATTTATGTGTGGTTGTGTTTGTCAGTGTGTTTGTGTGTGCTCTATGTTTAGGTGTGTGTATGTTTGTGTGTCTTTGTCTGTGTCTATTTGCATGTGTGTTCTTGTCTGTGTGTATGTGTTTGAATGTATGTTTGTGTTTATTTGTATGCGTGTATGTCTGTGTCTTTGTATATGTTTTGTGTGTCTGAGTTTGTGTCTATGTGTGTGTTTACGTGTTTGGATGTATGTGCATTTGTGTGTGTATGTCTGAGTGTTTGTGTTTGTGCGCGTGTTTCTCTATGTTTTTGTGTGTGTATCTATGTCTGTCTATTTGAGTGTCTATGTCCATGTGTATGTGTGTCTTTGTGTGTGTGCATGTGTGTGAATGTATTTGTGTGCTTGTTTTTCTGTTGGTTTGTGTGGCTTTGCGTTTGTGTTTATTTGTATATGTGTGTATGTGTGTGTTTGTGTTTTTCTCTGTGTTTCTGTGAGATTGTGTATGTCTTTATGTCTGTTTATGTAGTTTTTTTTTGTGTATGTGTGTTTGTGTGTTACTCTATGTGTGTGTATATTTGTTTGTGTTTGAGTTTGTGTGTGTGAGTATGTTTATGTCTATATTTATGTTTGTGTTTTTGTGTGGTTGGGTTTGGGTGTGTATGTATTTGTGCTTGTGTGTGGTTGGATTTGGGTGACTCTATGTATGTGTTTGTGCTTGTGTGTGTATTTGTTTGTGTTTGTGTGTGTCTATGCACGTGTATTTGTCTTTTTGTGTTTATGTGTGTGTTGTTGTGTTTGAGTTTGTGTGTCTGAGTATGTTTATGTTTGTATTTTTGTGTGTGGTTGGGTTTGGGTGTGTATGTGTTTATGCTTGTGTGTGATTGGGTTTGGGTGTCTCTATGTATGTAATTGTGCTGGTGTGTGGTTGGGTTTAGGTGTCTCTATTTATGTGTTTGTGCTTTTTTGTGTTTGTGTCTGTGAGTGTCTTTTTGTGTATGTGTTTGCATTCTGGTGTTTGGATGTCTTTGTGTGTATGTGTGCATACGTGTGTTTGTCAGTGAGTTTGTGTATCTGTAACTCTGAGTATATGAGTTTTTGTGTGTTTGTTAGTGTATGCCTGTGTTTATGTGTTTCTGTGTGTGTTTGCATGTGTTTCTTTAACTGTGTGTGTCTGTATCTATGTGCACCTTAGTGTGTCTGTTTGTGTGTTTGTCTTTGTGTGTCTTCATTTGTGTCCGTGTTTATCTTTGTGTGTCATTGCATGGATTGATGGGGAAGCACGGTAATAACTACACTTTTTATTTTTTATTTTTGATTTGGTTTAGTACCGCAAGTGATTGTGAATTTGTGATTTGATGTTTGACTATTGGCATGTTTTGGTTGTGTTGTTAATTCTGGTTTCGTGTATGACAAAGGATAAAATGGTCCATATAAAAATGAAAACCAAAAATAGTTATTGACAATAGTATTCCCTTTATATATTAGTATTATCTAGTAGAAAAAAGGCACTACTGCCTGCATTGTATTAAAAGAAAAAATAAAAAAAAATAAAAAAATGAAAAGTTACTCATAAAAAGATAGTTATTAAAAAATAAACAAACGATAAAATGATCTATATAAAAATGAAAACCAAAAATAGTTATTGACAATGATATCCCCTTTATATATTAATATAGATTTATTAGTTTGAAGTTTTTAAATTTGATTAAAAGTATTTTTTCTAATTTTTTAAAACAAAAGGGTATAATGGTAAAAAAAAAGTGGATACCAAGGTAGTTACCGAAAAGGGTATCTCCTTTATATATTAATATAGATTAGTATAGATTCATTAGTTTGAAATTTTTAAATTTGATTAAAAATATTTTTTCTAATTTTTTAAAATAAAAGGGTATAATGGTCCAAAAAAGTGGAGACCAAGGTATAGTTAAAAGAAAAAAAATAAAAATAAAAAATAAAAAGTTACTCATAAAAAGATAGTTATTAAAATATAAATAAAGGATAAAATGGTCCATGTAAAAATGAAAATCAAACATAGTTATTAACAATGATATCCTTTTTATATACTAGAGAGGTTGAGGCACTTCGTGCCTCTAATAATTATACATAGGCAAATATTAGAAATTTTAGAAGATATAAGATTTTTTTTTTTTACATTCAAGGTATAATAGTAATAAGTAATGTAAAATTACTTATACGATTGTTTTATTTATCTATTGGGGTCGAAGCACTTCATATTAGATAATTCATGTAAAAGGGATATGTTTATACGAATCGAAAGGAACAAAAATAGTTCGTGCATATTTGTTCCTCCATTCTTTTCTATCATATATATTTTCTTGTAAAATTATTTATATAATTGTATTATTTATCTAGTAAGAAAAAGGCACTACGTGCCCGCATTGTATTAAAAGAAAAAATAAAAAAAATAAAAAAAATGAAAAGTTACTCATAAAAAGATAATTATTAAAAAATAAATAAAGGATAAAATGATCCATATAAAAATGGAAACAAAAAATAATTATTGACAATGATATCTCTTTTATATATTAGTATTATCTAGTAGGAAAAGGGCATTACGTGCCTGTATTATATTAAAAAAAATAAAATAAAAAATTACTCATAAAAAAATTATTGTTAAAAAATAAACAAACGATAAAATGAAAATTGAACACAAAAAATTTTAAAATAAAATGAATTCTGATAATTTATATTAACTTAAGATTATTTATATATTAATGTAACTTATATTTGTTATAACGAAATTTTAACTAAAATTAACAATTATTCTATAACAATTAACCTTATCATATAATTACAAATTTAATTATTAAGTGAGTTTTTGTCTTGTTACTAATACTATAGTATTATAAATTATCTATACAATAAATTAAAAAAAAAATTAAGGTGTTAAAGAAAAAATATTATAATATACAACTCAAATATAAATTAACCAGCAGTGTGAGAAAAGTAATTTAAAATTAAAGAAGACAGCTACAGTGATTTATTATTCCGATATCACTCCCTTGAAGAAAAAACAAATAAAAATCCACGTAGACTACTCCGGTTCAAAACCTGCTCTTATATACAATGATCCTTTTCTCTACTTAATCTAACGGCTAAGAAATGCTTCGCACGGTGGGAGATATGTTGAGCCTATAATCCGTCTTGAAGAGTCTTTTAAGTCTTTTCTCTCTGGCGGAACCCTAGAAGCTTCTTCCGCTGCACTCCCTGGCGAGAGCGACAGACAGAGGTAGGTTTCGTTCCCCTTTGAATCCCTTCCTTCGCAGTGTCTTGGATCTTGGCACATTCCACAATCGCTCCGTTCTTCAAATCAGCGCAGAGAAGAGGGTTTGTGTTCCGATTGAATGGCGAGCGAAGAGGAGAACGGGGAATTCTACCTGCGTTACTACGTTGGCCACAAGGGGAAGTTCGGGCACGAGTTCCTAGAGTTCGAGTTCAGACCAGACGGAAAACTCCGTTACGCCAACAACTCCAACTACAAAAACGACACCATCATCCGCAAGGAGGTTTACCTTACCCCTGCCGTTCTCCGCGAGTGCCGCCGTATCATCGCCGAGAGCGAGGTAACCCTAACCCTAACCCTAAGCAACTCTTTATTGTCGTTTTGAAAATAACTGATTGATTGTGCAGATTATGAAGGAAGATGATAACAACTGGCCAGAACCTGATAGAGTGGGGAGGCAGGAGCTGGAGATTGTAATGGGGAACGAGCACATATCCTTCACCACCTCCAAGATTGGCTCTCTTGTTGATGTTCAGAGTAGCGCTGATCCTGAAGGGCTTCGGATCTTTTACTATCTTGTTCAGGTGAGTGAGATTGTGATTTGCATCTATAATCATGGCTGTGAACTGTTTTTTGAAACATTCGCAGCATTCCGGGGACACGCTCCTATGGTTCATTTCTGTTGGTGTTAAGTAATGTTTGCTTTATTCTTTTTATATCTACTGTTTGCAGGATTTGAAGTGCTTTGTCTTCTCTCTCATTTCACTTCACTTCAAGATCAAGCCTATATAAGATGTGTCTGCAATATTATGCGTTCATCCTTCGGGAAATGTGTACTTGTTCATCAGCTACTCCTTTTGCTAATGGGCTTCAACGTTTGATAAGTTGTGATTTGGTTCTGTATTGCTGGTTACACACTTTCACAACCCTTTTTGCGACGTTGAAGCTTTTGTTAAAAGTTTGCTTTTTAGGAGTTTGATTTATTAACAATGTTTGGTATTGTTAATGAAATGTGTAATTGTTTTAGCTTTTGCTTGGATTTCTTGAGATGGAAAAATGGTATTATTATGTAGACATTTTATTTATTTTTGGGTCAAAATTAACACATTCTTTTTGAATATGAGATTTAATTTATGCAAATTTGTACATAATAATTTGATCTGATTGTCAAGCCTAGTTGGAATTGCTATAGTTTTCCGTATGAACTGAGTTTTGCTGACAAAGGGCGTTGGCAGATTATAAGAATTATTCTGAACTTAATAAACATGTAAAGCAAAAGGCTTATGCCGGTCACTGAAAAATCATCCTGACAAGGCTGGTGGGAGTTTACTTAGAGCACGAGGAACAAATGGCCCAGGCATAAGTATAACCTCTACGAAAGATGCTAGCACTAGAACTGCTTCTGCAGAGAGGCTCTGGGAACCTTTACCTTCCAAAGGAAGAAAGGAGCTTATCAGCCTTGTGCAGGATTCTATGCAATGTGCAAACAACAGTTCAACGATAGGTCCTTTCTCTCAAAGGAAAAGGGTCACTGCCCCATCAGGCAAGGTAGATGGAAAATTTTTTTATACTACCCCGATGCCTCTGCATTCATCTACTGTCTCTGGGGGGTTATTGAGAAGCAAAGGTATGACTCTAATTTCATAACTTGAGTTTTGAGGAGAGTAATTGCTACCTTCAGCAATACTAACTGCTGATGTGCTATGCAGGAGATGGAAAACAGAAAAAAGAAGGTTCATGCGTTGGAACCAAAGGATTCTGTGCCCCAGATAATATCTTGTTCCGATGCCATTCACTTACATATTTTAACGCACTTAGAGGGGCCATTTTATGTTGATCGAAATACAAATAATATCTATACATAGTGAGTGCCACTTTCAGATGCTTGTAGAAAAAGAAATAAGCAACATATTAGCACTTGAAATGATGGTGTTATACTTTAAGGAAATTAAATGTGAAGCATTTTCCTACAGGAAAGAAATCACTATTTTTACTCAGGGATGCCCTATATCCTTTAAACTATTTACGGTTTATTAGAATACTATGGCTTGAATTTCAACTGGAAGCTAGTTTCCTGGGTGCAGTATAGGTTTGAGTATCCATACTTACCATTTCATTCTGGTAGTGGTACAAATTATGGTCTACTGCTGACTACAGAAACTTAATTATGGGAAATTTAAGTCATTTGACTTCAACAAGATACCCTTCATCTCAAACACGGTTTGTAAGGCCAACTGAGATGTCCATGATCTGAATAATTTAATTGTAGTCAATAATTAGTGCAAAATATTGTTTTACCTTGAGGGTATGGGTCTCTATTTTACGTTTTCAAATTTCAAATTATACTATAACTTCCCTTGGGCGGAAAAGGGAGGCAATACACAATGTATGATTTAATATTTAAATTCAACAGTTTACATACTGCATTCAAGCTGTAAAAGCTTCATTATAAAAAGCTTAATTGGTGATCTATTCCATTTACATATTTGATATTTGTTTCAAAATCTAAAATATAATAATTTTGTAATTGAATGGAAAGTAAATTAACCTCCGAAAATTTGGCTTCTTTAATTCCATTCCTAGCAAAAACCTGTTAAATATCCCTTGATTTAGATTCATCACTGCACTGGTGTGTCACATTCAAAATGCAACATTTGAAGTTTATTGCCTAGAGATCTTATTTCACTGTCCTATAATTATTGTATGGCCTTGTTTTTCAGTAGTTTTAATCCAAAGTTCTACCCTTTCTTCAGGTTCTGTTAAGGTCTCAGCATCAGGGACCTAAGGTTGATATTTGGTTAGCTGGAGTCACCCTACTCCACATGGTGATTGGGAAGACTCCTTTCACCGGTGACCTAGAACAATAAATATCACCATCAAAATTCAGTTGTGATGATTTTTTGTCTTTCCATGCTGACTGAGTTCTGTTGCAGGAATATAAAAGAAATTGTTAAATTCCGGGGCAGTGAAGAGTTTTGGGAAGTGGCCAAGCTACATGACCGTGAATTATCTTATACTGCAGTAATTCCTTTTAATCCTTATTTTGAAAACACTAATATAATTAAAACAAAATTAAAACCGAATCAGTCTGCGAATGAATTAAAATGTTCATTATTATTTTATTAAGTTTAATGCTAACTTATATTTATAAATGTAATATTCTTATGCTTTTGATTTCAAGCATATTAAATTCTTTAACCAGTGTTGGTGTTTCCCGCTAGAGATTTTTGGTCAAACTTCATAAGTTCAGCTGGATAATGTCTGAAGATGATTGTTTGCACGAAATTCATTTTAGTTTATCCCCCTATTTGTAATCAACTGTTGAAATTATAATTTTAATTTAATGACTCTGAACTGACGTTACCACTAAGAAAAGCAGTTCACTTATTTTTGAATATGGTAAATCAAGCAAGTGATTTAGTTAAAATCCATTCTATTGCAGGAGTTACTTGATGAGCGTTACTTACAGTCATGGGACTTTGAAAGCTGGTGCAAGATTCACGCAAAGAGGCCAGAGTTTCTTGAGCAGATCCCGAAATCGTTTTTTGATTTGATAGACAAGTCTCTAAAAGTAAACCCAAGAAATAGAATTAGCGCAGAAGAAGTTCTAAGACATGAATTCTTTGATTCATGTAATGAGTCCCTAAGGAAGCAAAGGATGATTAATCGAGCTAAGGTCGGAAGCTGCAGCTTCTAAAGCAATCTGAGATCAGTTTCATCAAGTGAAGGTATTTTCGGTAGCAGCAACTGGCGCATAACTAGTTGTTACTGTGATTTTTTTGTACCAGAAGGTGGTTGATCCATAAGAGGGTTTTCTATACCTGTTATTCTTGTCTGTATATATTATGACTACTTCATAGAAGGTAGCGGTGTGATAACTTGTAACTTGTGTAAGCTGCTTAAATGTAGAACTTCAACATATTTTTTGTATTTATCCTTTTATTGCTGTACTTCTTAAAGTGTTATCTTATTTTCACGAGTTTCTACGTTCAATCAAATTTTATAATCTCTATTCTAACGATCATTTTAAAAAAGTCAGCTTACCAAAACAGAGAATTTAATAAAAGTCGATGATAAATTGTACTGAATATAGCTAGCATAACTGCTACGTAAAACTGTTTCGAAATTTTAATCGTAATTTTTCTGAGAATGTCAAGCTGTACTTATAGCTAAATTGAGTTTAATGAATTTAATAAGTATCAATTTAATATTAAAATCTGAATTGTATACATTATATATACAAAAGCCAAATTTTATTGTAGAAAAAGACGTACAATTTGTCTTTTTGGTGTATAATGGCTAACTTCATTGGGGCTATTATATACTTAAAATCCCAAATTGTATTTCTTTTGGATTTGAAATAGGAATGAAAATGTCAAAAATAACCGATTAAATAATCACATTCATCTATATTCAAGTCTCATCTAAAATTTCTCTTGTTTTTCTTTTGTAGGAAGCAATACATGAAAAAACACCATACATAGCTAGATGTGTTCAAATCCCACGGTTGGTAAGAATTTTACTTTTTCTTTTCTTTTCATATTTTAGTTTAAGTTCACTTCATAAAAGAATGTACACTCTGCAAATTGGTGTGTGGTGTGTGATAGGCCGTGCAAGAACACACCGAAAGAAGTAAAAGCAAAAACAATAGGATGCGGAATTTCGAGCATTAAAATTGGGTGGAGTTGAAACTCAACGGTTCACTGTTCATGTAAAAAATGGGACTATGTATAACACCAAAAATCAAAACAGACAAGTGAATGAAGTGATGATAAAAACACATGCAAAACATCATTATACTCGAACTATGTATAACATTGAATTTACTTTGCAGTTCTTATATACTAATATTAAGTAATTTACAAGCCTCTAATTCCCATAATCTATTCAATTGTAGGAGGACTACCACCTTCTCTTCACCTCAGATTTCCATCTCACCTCTTTAAGCTTTCCATCCAACCCATAGCTCCATCCCAAGGTTGATCCCTTCATCAGAGTACCAACCAACTCCAATACAAAGAATGCCATCTTTGTTGATGTCAACATAGCATGGTCACATCCTGCATGTCAAGCCGCTCCTCCTCTCCGAAGTAGTTTGTATTCTCAGGGAGGCTCCTCTTCTTCAGATTTTCCATACAAAGGTACACAAATAGGGCGTGGCTGTTGCCTTCTTCCGGGTCAAGCCGCTCCTCCTCGCCATACACAGGAGTTGCACGGACCTCAAAGACTTTCCATGACCCTGTCAGCTCCGATGGTTTCGTTCGTTTTCTTTGCGACAATGGCTTCACTTCGAACTCCATGTCATCACTGTTTCAAATGTAGCACTAGTCATTTTCTTGAACTCAAGATATAGGAAAATGACAAACTATAATGGCATGGTTTGTTAAACTTAACAATAAGCACTCAAAGATGAAGAAAACGTGAAGGTAATGAATTAAGTTTTGTCCATAAGATAAAATCAACTTATACACTTCCAAGTTTTATAAAGTTCTCTTGCATTAACTTTTTAAGTGAGATAAACTTAAGGGTTTATCGTCATGCATTGTCATTGTAACTTTTAATATAGTTATCATAAACTTTACACACTTAATTGTTTGTGATTGAATGATAGTATAAAACTATTTTACACATTTAGTACATAGCTTATTTTCTCCAAACTTAATTTTTTTTTTCTCTTGTGAGAGTTTATCGAAAAGTTTATTCAAATAGTAACTAAGTAAATGCACATGCCAGGATCCATCTCATATTGCATTAAACATCATGTTAACTATTCTTTTAAATCTGATTTGTTGGGTTCACTTCACATTTACCAGTTGCATGGTATTTTGTGTTTAACTGAATGTAAATAAGTGCTTCATAGTCACGAATTGGAACAATATGAAAATAAAGAACAAGTACCTCTGGTCATCAATGGAAGCAGGACTGACCCATTCTTCTTCATGCACAGCGACTCTCATTATCTGTATGTCCGAACCTCCATTAATGAATTCTATGGTATGGACAATTCGGATCCTTTTGTGGCAACCTTTAACCAAGCACTGGAAAAGCAGAAATTGTGACAAAAGAAATTATAACTCTTACTGGAGAAATATGAGACAAATTATCAAGATCAAAAAAAGTAGTTGAATCAGTTAATTTTAATTAATTCCACCATAAATTCAAATTTTATTCTAGAGATACCCTTTACTAACCTACTACATAAGAAAGAAGTGAACACATAGAAAATAGAGTTAATAATACATTAAGAATATAAATAAAATTTATTCCTGAGTAATTTTGAAAACCGATGATTGTTGTTGCTTATATTAGGAGTTTAGGATCAAGGAAAAACATAATTTGTTGCTTATAATTAAGACAGAAGTAGAAATAGCAATTGACACTAGGGAAGGATCTATAAATATGATATTCAGTAAGTAGCATGCAAGACCACCAAAAATCTTGGTTAAGTAGCAGATAGGTCTTTTACTGTGTTTGCTCAAGCTATCCTTTTAATTCATCTCTCAAAGCTTAACTTGAGGTCAATTTTATCGGCGGTTAGCAAGGTTGGGCACTTTGTAAACCAATTGGTACATGGTAATATGGTTGAACCCCGAGACTGTAAAAAAAAGAATTCAGTGCACCATTAGTCCATTGATGCCAAGGTCAGGGTTATTGAGCAAGAGCGCTTGGGCTTCCACATAGCCAATCCGGATTTTACCAAACCAAAATGAGTTGCTGAAACA